GAGAAGTGGTTCGGGGGGGGGGAAACGGGTGCTTTCCCAGGGCACCACCTCACCGGTCCCCGTCCCTCTGCCCGCTGTCAAACGGACGCAGTTTGTTTGCTTTGTATCCCATCCCGTTGCTCGTAGCACAGTTTAATTGCCCTTAATTCCCTTTTAATTGCCTTTCCTGCCATTTTTAATTAATTGCCCTTCCTGCCCTTTTTAATTTCGGGAGCTGGTGATGAGGAAGGGAAGAGCCTGGCTCTCGTGGGACCAGCTTTGGTTCCGTTTCTCCTCTTTCTTGATATATTTTGCCCCAAAAGCTGCTGCTCTTGACTCATTCGTGATACGGCCCCGTCAGGCGACAGGTGCCAGGTTCATCAACGGCGCTTCGTTAGGCAGGGTGGGGTGCTGAGATGGGTGTCCCCTGAACAAGGTGACTAATCCCTGAGACCAGGATTTCCATCGCCCAGCCCGGGCATGAACCTTTCCTCTTGGCTTGGCATTTAACACCTCCTCGCCCTCTCCTCCTCTGAGACGTGGCTGATCCGGAGCTGGGAGCAGCTCGGTTACGTGGTAGCAAAGCCAAGTCTAACTGGGCCGGGCTTAGAGTAGGATTCATCCTCGGGGAGCCAAGTCTCCCGTGTACCCCAAAACTTCTCCCAGCTGGTAAGTTAATTTTCCATCCTGGTTTTTTTGCAACGGGATGGGGCTGAGCTACTCCGGGGTGGATCCGACTACGGCTCTTTTTCCAGGAGCGAGAGGTTTCGGAGGAAGAAAAAAGTCTTTCCGCTTCCCCAGCCGGCATTGGCGCGTGCGTTAAGCTTGCGGCGTCCCCCTTTCCCCGGGCCGGGATGGGTGAATCGAAGGTGTTGGAGGTTCCCCAAGTACGTGATGTTCTTTGCTTTGATTCCGCTCGGCTGCTCCTGTCCTTTCTGCCCGGCTCGGTGGCGGTGGCGGCACGGTTGGCTTCGTACCTGCGGTGGCTTGAGCCAGGGCTGGGCTTAAAATCTTCCCACCAAGTCATCGCCTTGGGTGTTGATTTGGGTGCTTTGGGGTTTTGCAGTTGAAACCCCTCCGGGGGCTCGTTTTTTCCTCTAATTCACTTTTTTCCGTCGGAATTTCGGTGTTTAACCTGTATGGCCGGGGCTCCTTGGGAACTGCAGCTGCTTGCCTGGCTTTTATAAACTCCGTATAAATCAAACCTTTGGCGGCTGCGGGGCAGAGAAATGTGACTGTAAATAGACATAAATCCCCTGGGGAACCCTCACACCCGCTCATCCGGAGGTGCGGATGGGGCAAGCGGGGGGTGATGCCTCTCGGACAGGATTTTTGGGGGTGGCTCCGATGGGTTTTGACCTCATCTGATGCCTTTCCCTCCTTTCCCGCTCCAGGTG